CTTTGCTTATTTCTTTCTCCTCTCTCTGTCTCTCTCTCTCTCTGGTTTCTTGAGACAAGGACTAATTATGTAGTCCTGGTTGGCTTGGGACTAGCTTTGTAGACCAGGCTGACCTCCAGCTTGTAGAGATCCACCTGCTTCTGAGTGCTGGAATTAAAGGTCACCTACTCTCGGCTTCTCTTCTTTTCTTTCTTTTTTTTGAAACAAAGTATTAGGTTTTTCTGTATGATATTTTGATACATGCTCAGTTTTGGCTTAAGCTCCCTTTCCTTTTTAAAAAAAATTTATTTTTTATTTTATGTGTATGTGTGTATTGCCTGCATGTAGGTAAGTGCACCTGTGTTGTGCAATGCCCTCAGAGGTCAGAAGAGGCTGTCGGATCCCCTGGGACTGGAGTTATTTTATAGTTGTTAGCTACCATGTGAGTGCTGGGATTCGAACCCGGGTCTTCTGCAAGAACAGTCAGTGTTCTTAAACACTGAGCCATCTCTCCAGCTCCCTTTGCTTTTAATCAATATGTGTCTTTGTAGCTACAGTGTGTTTCCCATAGACATCATGCGATTGTGTCTTGTGTTTTCTTTTTTTCATTTGTGTGCGTGTGCGCGTGTGTGTGCGTGTGCGTGTGTGTGCATGTGCGTGTGTGTGTGTGTGTGTGTGTGTGTGTAATTAGACTTACAGGCAGTTGTGTGCTGTGGGACACAGGTGCTGGGACAGAACTTTGGTCCCCTGGAAGGGCAGCAAGCATAACTGCAACCCCGTGTGTGTGTGTGTGTGTGTGTGTGTGTGTGTGTGTGTGTGTGTTTGTACTCTGACAGTGTCTTTCAGTTGATACAGCCTTTGGAGTGTTGCCAACTAAAGTGACTTCTAATGTAGTTGTTACTGTCTGCTGTATTATTTTTCTCTGTTTGCTCTCATTCTGTTTCTATTTTTGTGTCTTCCACTCTTTTTTTTTAATGATTTTAAGTAGTGTTTTGTGTTTCCATTTTGTCTTCTTTCTTAGCCTACAGTTATTTTTCTTAAACTTTACATTTTTGCTCTAGAGTTTACAATACACATTTACAACTAATCCAAGACTACATTCAAGTAACATGAAACTGAGGTACGACAACTGCGCTATAATAAAGTACTGTTTTTTCCCTCCAACTTTACATCATTGCCATGGCATTAATTGCACTTACATTTACTAATGATACATTAGAACATGTATTGTGAATATGCATAATAAATATACTTGCTGTCCATTTGAATGATCATTGCATCAATTTAATAAGAAAAGTGTTATTTTTACTTTCAGAGGTTGATCTTTAATGTTCTTGCAGCCTGCAGGGTCTGCATTTGGTGTCCAACATTAATTTGCTGTGTTTCTATCTCTTTTTCTCGTGTTGTTCCCACGATGCATGTGTTAAACCTTTTGTATTTGTCCTGCAGTTCCCTGTACTTTGTACTCTCTTGTGCGTGATCATACACTCATGTTGTAGTCTCGCTTCTTTGTTTTGTTGGAGTTTCTGTTGATAGATTTCAAACTCAGATGCTTTCCTTTGCCGTGTCCTGTCTGCTAATGAGTCCACTGGAGACCTTAAACAGGGTGTGGTGGCGCATGCTTTTAATCCCAGTACTTGGAGGCAGAGGTGAGCAGATCTCTGTGAAATTGAGGCCAGACTGGTCTACATAGTGGGGTCCAGGCCAGGTAGGGCTACACACACACACACACACACACACACACACACACACACACACGCACGCACACGCACGCATGAATGCACGCACACGTGCGCACAGGCTGGGGAGATGGATGGCTCATTCAGTAAAGAGCCCCTTCAGAGTGTGAGTACCTGAGTTTGGATCCCTAGACTCCATATAAAAAGTTGATTGGGGGGCAAGTGCCTGTAATCCTCTCATGGTGAAATGAGAGGTGGAGACAGTGGATTTCTGGGACGAGCTGGCTGGCTGGTTAGTCTAGCTTCTTGAAGTTCCAGGTCAATGAGAGATGGAGTCTGAAACAAAAGGAGGAGGAGGGCATCTGAGGAAGGGCCCCCGAGGTTGTCTTTTGAATTCCACACATGGGTGCACATCTGTACTTTTAAATTCTCTCTCTCTCTCTCTCTCTCTCTCTCTCTCTCTCTCTCTCTCTCTCTCTCTCTGTAGCCAGGTTGGCCTTGATCTCAAAATTCTCCTGTCGTAGCCACCTGGGTGCTAAAATTACAGGCATGGGCTACTACACTGGATCTTTACATAATTATGTGTGCCTTTGTGTGTGTGCATGTGTAGGGGTTCATCTGCTTGTAGAGACCAGAGAATACCCTTGGGTGTTGTTACTCAGGCAGGTTCTACCTTGTTTTGAAATAGGGCCTCTCATTGGCCTGGAGTTTACAGATTAGGTTAGGCTAGCTGACCAGTGAGCCCTAGAGATTTATCTGCTTGTTTCCTCAGTTCTGGGATTCCAGGTACACACCACTACGCCCGGCTTAGGTGCATATGTATGTATGTGTGTATTTTTAATCTGGTTCTAGGATTGACCTCATGTTCTCATGCTTGTGTGTCAAGCACTTTGCTGACTGAGCCATCTCCCTCATTTTCCTTTCTGTAATTTGTCTTTGGTATTCTTTTTGGACCCTTTCTTAGAATTTGTGTCTGTTTGTGTTGTCTGCTTTTCCCATCAGAGCCTTTAACATATAACCAGAGTTTGAAAATTCTAGTCCTGGTTGGTCCAGCATCCCTGCTGTATTGGTAGGGTTTTGAAGCTTGTTTTGCCTTTTCAAATTATTTTCAGCTTCTAGTATGGCTTGTTTTCACTAAAATCCCAACATTGTGTACTAGAGAATAGGAACTCATTCTAGGCTTTAATGGCCTTTCTTTCCATAGGCCTTAATAATGTGGAAAGGCATGGGGGCATGGGGAGTGTATTACTGAGCTGTGCCTCTGGACTCTGAACGTCCCAAATGCTTCTTAGTGTTTCTCCCACTTAGGTGATATAGGACGGCTAGGATGAGCTGTAGTTGGGTGTTTCTCTTCCTTTAGGTGAAAGGCTTGAGAGGTTTCGAGTTGGGAATTTACTCTGGTAAAGCTATTTGATTAGACATTAGTAAAATGTAGACATTAGTTTCCCTTAATGATGGGCCTTGTTAAGAAGAATGGAGTTTTCTGGTATGCTTAAAAATGGTTCCTTTCCTCCGGCCATTTTTTATACAGTGACTTTGAAGGTGGTGTAACTCCTACAGTTAAACTCACTAAGGTGTTGCGTTTCCTCTTGATTCCCTCCCCCTGGAGTTTCAGCTCTGGCACTTGTCTTCACTAAGCCTCCAGCAATTTGTCACATACATTTAGGTTTTCCAGCTCAGCTGTGTTCCTGTGGAGATGGCTTGTTTGTGTGGAAGTTGTAATTCTCAGGATTTGGTTGTCTGACTAACTTTTGGGTCAGCATTTGACTATGTTAAGTTCCTTTTCCTGAAGGCTCTGAGGAGGGTTGAGTTTCCAGTTTGCTTGGCTTCTCTCTTGTTAGAATGTGGTGAGGAACATCTGAGCTCTTACTTACATGCTGGATTGTGACTAGTACTTCCCTTATATTTTTGTGCCCATATCTCCACTGTGCTTGGTGTATACTAGTCCAGAAAAGCTTTGCTATGACCTCCAGAAAACAAACCCCCACTTTTTTTTCCTCCAGGTGGGTGAAGGTAGTCTCCAGCGCCTCTGAGTAAAGAAGACAAAGTAGTGACCAACCTACACTTTAGACACTCTGATGTCCAAGTCTTTTTCATTTTCACTTCCAGACTTTGTCACTTAGTTTTTTAACCTGAGAATTCAGTACTATAAAATAGGCTTGTTCTTAAGGCTTTATTCTTCATTCTCCCTTGAGTCCCCAATTCTTGGGTCTGCCATTTAGGCTCCTGTATCTAGGTATATTGTTGTAAAGCTGCTGCTATTAATAGCTTATCATGCTTATCCTGCCCTTGTTTGTAAAAATCAGTCTGCCATATCTGTATTGGTGTCTTTAATATGTCAAGTTTTAAATTCAGTTTTTGGGGGGTCGGGGTGTGTGCACATGCATAGGGTAATTTTCAGGAATCGGTTTTCTCCTTCCAGTGATGCAGCGAGTCATCCCAGCAGCCCTAATGTGTCAGGTTTTATGTAAGGAAAAGTGGCCAAAGCTTGATTTTATTTGTTTGTTTTTATTATTTTTATTTTATGTGTGTGAGTATTGCCTGCATGTACGTAGGTACACATGGGTGGACCTCCAGTGCACATGGAGGTCGGAAGAGGGCATTGGATCCCCAGAACTGGAGTTACAGACAGTTGTTTGCTGCCATGTGGGTGCTGGGAAGTGAACCTGGGTCCTCTGCAAGAGTAGCCAGTGCTCTTAACTCCTGTGCCATCTCTCTTGTCCCTTGATTTTGTTTTTTTGTTCCTTCAATCCCCTTCTTCATCCTGAGAAAGCCAAGTCAATCAGTAAATGTAGCCGAGGTAACTGCCTGAAACATCTTGATGGAGATCTAACCCTAACCCATGCACCTTCTTTGGCAAGTAAAGCTACAATTTTCCCAAAGTGAGAATACTTCTTAATATAGTCTCTGCATATGGGGGTGGACTTAACTGGAATGATTTTTTTTTTTTTTGGTCTTTTTGAAACAGAGTCTCCATGTAGCCCCAGCTGTCCTGGAACTCACTATGTAGACCAGGCTGGCCTTGAACTCACAGAGATCTGCCTGCCTCTGCCTCCCGAGTGCTGGGATTAAAGGCGTGCACCACCATACCCGGCTAGAATGATTTTTAATAAAGAAAAAAAAAATCAGTGGTTTATATTTTATGTGATGTGAAAAGCAGCTAACTGTGAATGGGGAAGGTTTTTGTGACAGATAAGTCTGTGCTTTCCTCTGAAAGATGGATGTGTAGATCTTGTTAATCATACTGCTGGCCGCCATTTGGGTTTGATGGTAAGACTTGATTATGTTACAGTTTGGTGATTTTTGGAATAATGTTTCTGCAATTTCTTTTGTAATCTGCAGAGAAAGCAACCAGTGAGATGAATACAGCTGAGGACTGGGGCCTCATCTTGGATATCTGTGATAAAGTTGGTCAATCTCGCACTGGGTAAGTGTTCAGAGGTTCCAAGGGGTTTTGTTTATCCCCTTTATAAACATGAAACATTAAAAAAGTAAAGCACATTACAATTGTAATTTAGTTTAAAAAGAGAATATTTTTACTGGAAAGATTCAAAGGCTCATCCCATTTAAGGTATCGCTTATTGTGGTTTGGTTGTGAAATGTTCACAGGCTCCTTGTTCTGCAGCTGATGGTGTTGGAAAGTTGTGGAACATTTAGGAAGTGGAACCTTGCTAGAGGAAGTGGGTCCCTGGGAACAGGCCTTGAGGGATTATCCTTGACCCCACTTCATGTCCTCTCTTTGCTTCCTGACTTCAGACACAATGTGACCAGCTGCCTCATGTTCCTGCCACTGCCTTCCAGTGGATGATAGCCCTTTTTAAACAATAGGCAGTAAGCTTAAGTTGCTTCTGGTCAAGAATCTGCTCACAGCAGTGAGAAAAGTAACTAATACATCCCTTAACCAGTGAGGGTAATGAGATTATTATAAATCCAGCGCTTGTCTGTCTTAGCTTGTTTTCCTTCTTGTGAATTACCAGTCAGTACTGTCTATGGCCTAATGTCCCCCAGTGCTGGGGGTCAAATCCAGGGCCCTGTAAATGCTAGGCAGTCTGTCACTGAGTGTTATGCACGTCCTTTTATTTCTAATTTCCAGTAGGCTTAATTCTTTTAAAGGAATAGATTGAGAGAAAAAAATAGGGCTAAGAAGTATGGAATAGAAAATAAATACAAATGTGAACTGAGGATGTAGCTCAGAAATAGAGTGCTTGCCTAGTACAGAGAAGGCCTGCGATCAGTCTCTAAAACAGAAAAGTAAGCTGTTTCATTATTTCTTGAATAATCATAATTACTACTGGGTGATGCAGTCCTTTTACACATATTTGAGCAGACAATTGGCCACTTAATCTAGGTAGTAATAGATGAGGTGTTTGGTGTCTGTGTCCCAACTACTGAAGTTCCTTTCCACAGTGCGGTGCTTCAGAGGTGGGTTGTGCTCTCATCCAGCTCCCCGTTTGCACTCACTCCTCCTTACGAAGATTCTGACTGCCCCTGTACACTGTAAATGAAACTGATACGGGCTGAATCGTCCTTTCCTGTGTTCTCATTATCCGTGCATGTGTCAGTAGATGATTCCCAGTTCCTGTTGCTTCTATTCAGACATTTTTGATCAGTGCCTTTCCTTCGCTCATAGTTATTGTGGAGCAGGGCAAGGCGACTGCCGTGGTCTTCTTGACTCAGCCCCAGAAAAGGTTGCTGCCATGACCAAAGCCATGAGGCAACATCTCTCCATATATATTTCAAATGTATTTTCCCAATTCTCTCATTGTTTACAGCACGAGTATTAGTCTGGCTACATTTACTCTGTCATGACTTGAAGTGTCTTAGTCTTCCATTTCCCCCTCAAGTTCTTTTTATGCAGAATTAGCTTGAAATGTGTAACAGGTAACAGCTAAGCAAGAGAACTTATTAACTTTATTTGGAAGTTTAAGAAGAACTAGTGTATAGTTTTTCAAGTGTGTCATTAATAATTATTTTCCCATATTTTACCTTTTGTATATTAAGGAGGGGGAAGGCTAGATGTATTATTAATTATAAAATTTCTTATTTTTTAGACCTAAGGACTGTCTTCGTTCCATTATGAGAAGAGTGAACCATAAAGATCCCCATGTTGCAATGCAGGCTTTGACTGTGAGTGGCTTCATTTTAAATAAGCAGGACCATGAGATTATCTGTCAACATTGAGCCATTTTAATTTCTGGTTTTATCTTTATAGCTTCTAGGAGCTTGTGTATCAAACTGTGGCAAAATTTTTCACTTAGAAGTATGTTCAAGAGATTTTGCTAGTGAAGTAAGCAACGTATTAAACAAGGTAAGGAATGTTATTTCTAGAAATTAAGGCACTTTTCTTTCTTCATGTACTGTTAAGTTCTTTCCATTTTAAGTCCGAGAGAGAGGCAGACAGACAGACAGACAGATTTTTCTAGGTTATGTCTGTGTATTATAGAAATAGGGACTGTTTTTCCTGACAAGACTACAAATCTTTATACTTTAAGGGTTTTTTTAAGCCATATTAAAATATATTTAGCTTTTTCTGTTTTCCTTTTGCTAAGAAGACACACCTATTCTTATACCTGATTAAATACTGTGTACTTCAGGCATTGTTTTTATAGCTTCAACAGTTATTTTCCTAATGTAGCATCCTTCAGAAAAAAACTGTCCAAACATAAGGTACTGTGGACTCCTTATCTTACATGGACAGGGACTTTACCTGGCCGTCGTAGGAGTTTTGAACTGTGTTACTGTTCTTTCTGACCAAACTTGTGGCTAGAGTTGCCCTACAAGTGTCAGTAGGGATGTTCTTACTAGGGACTGCCCCAGACCTATCCAAGATGGGGCCGGTTGTAATTTCAGAAAAGCAACACTAAATACCAGGGTGACCAGTCCATATGGCACTTTCTAGTGGAACTTGCATTCAGAGGACAGCGGTGTCCTCATGATGGACAGTTAGAAAAGGGATGGTTTGTCTAGGTATCTCTGTCATGGTCAGGTTGTAGAGTTTTTGTGAGGATTATATTTTGGTCTTTAATGATTGCTTAGGACCAGGCCAGGTTTCTGTTTACCCACATATTTGGTCTTTAGTATTTCAGAAAGGAAGTTAAACAAGACCGTGGTTTGTGTTCTAGTCGATAGAGAAAACCATACAGCCCTCCTGGGTACCCAGGATCGAGGCATTCATGTTTTTCTATTGGAACAAAGAACTAAAGCAGGGGAGCTGGGAACACTAATACCTACTTAATTGCCTGTGAGAAAAAATCCAGTCCCATAACTGAAAGAATTAAAAAAATAGAATAGCAAGTAAAAGGGTTTCTAGTAAAATTTTGCACTTTCTACAAATAATTAGTTCTGGCTTAAAATATTTGGTGTTCTATATCAAGAAAAGGATTTTAATGTTAATAGGGGACTCCTTCAGGTTCTTCTGAGACAGAAGTAAAAATGCGTAAAATGTGAAAAGAAATAAAAATTTTATAGGTCTGTGCTGGATAGCTTTAGTGTCGACACACTTGGGTTGAGGGAGCCTCAATTGGGGAAATGCCTCCATTGAACTGGCCTGTGGCCATGTCTGAGGGGCATCTTCTTGATGAGTGATGTGGGAGGGCCCAGCCCACTGTGTGTGGTACCACCCCTGGGCAGGTGGGCCTATGTTGTATAAGAAAGCAGGTTGAGCATGGGCCAGGGGAGGAAACCAATAAGCAGCATTCCCATGGCCTCTGCTACAGCTCCGGCTTCCAGGTTCCTGACCTGGGTTCCTACCTTGGGCTCCCTGATGAACTGTGACCCAGGAGATGTAAGCTGAATAAACCCTTTCCTCCCCAAGTTGGTATTGGTCAGTGTTTTGTCACAGCAGTGGAGAAACAAATTAGAACAAGGTCTCAAATGTAATTCCCTTTTCTGTTTCATTCAATTATGCTTAATTTTTGCTAATTAATAAACATTATTCTAATGTCCTGAATGTCCAGTTTTGAAAGGTTTTATTGTTTTAAGAATACATCCCACTATCATGTTTTTAGTGAAGATACAGTTACAATGTGAAGTACTGTGGACAACTATTTTGAAGAATAGAAATGTGTAGGAGACAACTTGGTTTTCTAAATGTTTTTATCTTTGTACTGAGAGGGAGAGATTATTTTGAAGAAACAAAGCTTCTGAGGTGATTAGTATGTAATGTACCTCACACAGATCTCACATAACTAGGATTCATGGGAAAGAATGCACAATCATGAAAATTAAAAGTAATGAACTATACAATTCTCTCCTTGTAGTTTTTAAAAAATTGGTCTCTAAACAGCAATATAATTATTTTCTTGTTATTCTAATGCATGAAAAGCACGTTTAGCTTCAAAATACACTGAAAAGGGTTATCTTTCTGATCGCCAAAATAAGTTATTGCAAATTTGTTTCCATTTTGGAGTGAGATATGTAATGGTATGTTCCTTTTTTTTATAGTATGAAAATAACATTAGTTGATTTATAGTTGCCAATTTTGTTTCTTTTTTCACATGTATAGTCTGTTGGTATAGAAAATATATACACATACATAAAATTTATATATTTAATTTAATATTTTGAAAGGTTTCTCTTATAGAGGGGTAATTTGTGATTCAGAAAGACATCTGTAACTCTTTAGAATTTTTATATCTAAATCATACCTGGAAACTGGCACCTTTTCATTCATTTTTTTTTCTCTGTTTCTTAGGGTCATCCTAAAGTATGTGAAAAATTAAAGGCTCTCATGGTTGAATGGACAGATGAATTTAAGAACGATCCACAGCTTAGTCTAATATCAGCAATGATTAAAAACCTTAAGGAACAAGGAGTAACATTCCCAGCTGTTGGCTCTCAGGTAACTTGTAGTTGTGTGCAATATGGTTTGTTTTTTCTAAAATAGCTTGTCTGCTAGAGCTTTGCTCTCTGCATTCATAGCTAGCTCTTACCATTCCAGAGTAGTTTGTTAATAATAGTCTTGCATTCAAAGATTCTGAAAAAACTTGTAGATTATTAATTGCTACAACCTCTACTCTCCCACTATCTTTTCATCGTAAGTAAATTGGTTTAACATTTTATAGTTTAAATTTTGTTTTTTAATATAGCAAAATTGCATTAGATTAGGTAACATGGACAGTTGTGTTTTTAATTTTTTATGCCTGTGAGTGTATTGCCTGCATGTAGGTAGTTGCACTTGTGTTGTGCATTGTCTGCAGAAGTCAGAAGAGGGCATCAGATTCCTCTGGAACTGGAGTTATGGATGATTCTTAGCCACCATGTGGACACTGGGAATCGAACCCAGGTCCTCTGCAAGAATAACCAGTGCTCTTAATCGCTGAACCATCTCTCCAGCCCCAAAGAATATTTTTTATGTTTGTTCTATTCTAGGTAACCATCCTTAAGGTTGTCCAACTAAACTAGAGTGCTTAAAATGTATAGTAATTCGATATATTCTTTTCCTGCTGTGTGGATGGAACAAATTGTAATGGCTTACAGAATCCATGAATGGATCACTCCCACTTGTAAAATACTTGCTTTCTGATTGTTGACCACTTTGAAGGTCATGTTAGGTGATCTGCTTATCTAGAGGCATCTAGGTTTCCTTCCCAGGGCATATCCATTTTATCTGAGTGCTCTTGAGATGTAAAGATCCAGAAAAATATGCAAGAGTAGAGAAGCAAGTGTATTTGTCCTTCTGCTTAAAATTTGGCACTCAGGAGGCAGAGGCAGGCGGATCTCTGTGAGTTCAAGGCTGGCCTGGTCTACACAGTGAGTTTCAGGACAGCTGGGGCTACAGTGAGACCCTGCCTCAAAAAGACAAAAAAAAAAAAAGGTCTACTGAGGATGTGGTGTTTCCTATTTAAGTTTGAAGCTACCTTTAACTTTCCTTATAAATCCTCTTTAACTTTCCTCTGGGGCTACAGGGAGACCCTGTCTCAAGAACCGCCCCCCCCCAAAAAAATTTGGTTTATGATTTTTTTTTAAAGTGATATATTTTAGATTACTCATGCACAGTTGATAGCTGGCTTTTATTAATAATTTTGAAAATTTATAATTAAGGACTTACTCTATGTAGAATAATCTAAGATATTATAAATTCTTCAATTATAGAAATAATGCCTATCAAAGAGTAGATACTAAAGAGAATTATTGAGTGTAGAACTGCATTTTCTATACCTGTTCTAGAACTTGTTACTCAAAATGTGATTTGTGATTCATTGACCACATCATCAGAATCACCTAGAAGATTATTAGAAATTCAGCCTCTCAGGTGCTACTTGACACGTGTGGACTCATCCTCTCCATTTAACAGGAGTCTCAGATGCTTCTGTGTGTGCACCGAGGTTTGAGAAGCACTGCTCTAGAGTGTAGCTTTCAGCACCAGTGAAAATACATTTCAGTCCACACTTACGGAGTAGGAAGACATGATGGTCCCTTTGACTTGTAGCTTTCTTAGTTAATCTAGAATTTTACATAGTTATGGGAACAATGTCAGACATCCCCTGATCTAATCCTTCCATTTTATAGGAGAGGAAACTTATTTTGAGGGTGGCGAAGTGTCTCACCCAGTTGAGAGAGCTGGAAGGAGACCACAGAACAGACCGTGATTCAGTCTGGTCTTCTTTGTACTACCTGCTCCTGCCTGCGCCTTGGTAGAGTCCATGGACACTTTTGTTCAGACCAGGCTTCAAAGGGCAAGAAGTGTAGTGAATACTGGCAGGAGTATTTGTTTATTGATGGATATAGAAGTTACTCTCTTGTTTAGTATATAGGACATAGAAGATTGATAGTAAAGTTAAGATCTTTTTAGATAGATACAAAATATGAAGAAGCCATTTTTGTTATAGTTACTATCTTTCAGCTACAGAAAATTTGCAAATTGCATATAAATTAAAATATGAGATAGAATGGAGATTGTTTTTATAGTTTCTGAAAAATTTGTCATCAGAAATCATATAAAGACGTGTTTAATGAAAAAATAAATCATGTAGGTTCAACTGCAGAACCCTCTCAAGTTTTTACAGCTACTTAGTTACTTAAGTCAATGGTAGTTTCATCAGACTAGATTTTACATCTAAATCAGAACAGGCATCAAATAAGCACCTTGGAAAATACGAAGCTTTTTTTCCTAAGTATATTTCTTTGTTCAAAGACAGAAGAAAATAATGTAAAAATGTTAAGGAGATCATAACTCAGTCACCTACCTCATGCATATGTAGCTCTGTTAGCACTTCTGATGTAGTGATAGAAATATGACCAGTTAATGACAAGTGCCTTTGTTATAGTAATACCTGCTGTAGGAACTGAAAAGGAGACAGTTCAGGAGCCTAGTACTTGATGACTTATTTCAGCCAGGCAGCCTCCTTCCCTCCCTCCCTCCCTCCCCTCCTTCCTTTTCTTTTTTATTTTATGTATATGAGTGTATTGCCTGCATGTACACCTGTGTCGTGCAGTGCTTGTGGAGGACAGAAGAAGGCACCTGAGCCCTTAGAACTGGAGTTCCAGATGGCTGTTAGCTGCCATGTGGGTGTTGGGAATTGAACCCAGGTCCTCTGCAAGAGCAGCCACTGCTCTTAACTATGGAGTCATCTCTAGCCCCAGCACTTCTTTCTTAACTGATAGAGATTCCTTCAAAGACTGCAAGAGATCAGTGTATCTTTGTGGTTAAATTCAGCTAACAATTTAAAAATTCATCTAGTGCTAGGGAGATGACTCAGCAGTTTAAGAGCATTGGCTGCTCTTGCAGAGGGCCAGGGTTCAGTTCTCAGTATCCACATAGCAGCTAACAACCATCTGTGACTCCAGCTCCAGGGACCCAACTCCTTCTTCTGACTTCCATGGGCATTGCATGTACATGGTTTACCTACGTACATACAGGCAAAACACTGATATACATAAAATAAAAATCAATAAATGTTTTAAAAATTGAAAAATTCATGTAAATGATAAAGGGCTGTTTCTGATCAAGTATGCTTTTAACTTTCAGAAGTACATAATAGTTAGAATATTGTCTAAGATTGCAGCTTAAATTTGTATTTAAGTGAACATAAAGGAGCATTTTTCATTGCCAGCTTTTCTAGAGCCAGGTGCCACCTATGCATTTGGCAGTGTACAATACAGTAAGTGAAGACTCTAGAACTCTGTTTACTGTTGTTTGCATATTTTGCCTTTCATTACACTTAACATACGTTTTATTGATTGCAATATTTAGACACATTTCCTCAAGGAGCACAGTCTAGTGGGAGAGACTGTATTAACTATAGTGTATTAACTGTAATAGAAGGCGTGACTTACTGCACTGTGTCAGCCACTGTTCTGAGGACTAGACGTGATCACTTGAATAGTTTTAGAATTCCACTTTTCTTAATTGATTGCAGCATACATTTGTAGTCCACTTGAAGTCAAAATTATTTGCTCTAAAAAAAAAGAAACTTTAGAAGTACATATTTTCTTTTTCTTTTTTGGTCTTTTGAGACAGGGTCTCCATATAGCCCCGGCTGGCCTGGAGCTCTGTATGTAGACCAGGCTGGCCTCGAACTCAGAGATCTGCCTGCCTCTGCCTCCCAAGTACTGGGATTAAAGGCATGTGCAGTCACACTGAATTGAAGTATATAGTTTCATTTACTCCCATCTCAAGATCCCCTATACTATAGTTGTCATATACTATACTATAAGTTGTCATATCTGTTATACCTTATTATAAATCTCTAGAGAGAAATGTTATAATTCTGTTTTAAGGCCTGAATGAGCCTTGTGTTATCTGACTTTAGAAGCTGCATGTGTTAACCTCATCTCTAAATGTTGTGGTGTGCCCAATGAGGAGCGCATGTTGTTATTGTCTTCATTTTATTGGGGAGAAATTTGAGGCACAAAGTGGTTAATGTACCCAATGTCTTCTGGCTAGAAAGTATGGTGGATGTGGAATTTGAACCCATGTTTGCCTGGTTCCTCATCTTGTTTCAAATTTTTGTGTAAGTACCAGAGGCCATAAAAGGGGGACTTCTTAGTTAAAGTGCTTAATGTTTCATCCAGAAAGTGGTATGTTAACTATTTACTGACTGGTGAATTGAAACTCAGTAGGGACAAAAACTGTGATAGAACACAGTGAATTAAAGGGAACATCATAAGTAGGAGCGTCATAGAAGTTCCATTTTATAGTTACCTAGGAACCGCTTTCAGCTTCTAGTGACTGGTAGAGGATACAAAATGGGGTTGGTAAAACAGGCTGAATTCAGATCTGCATTGAATGCATGCAGCACCAAGAGACCGACAGTGAAGATCATGAGGCTTAGAAGCTTGTAATTCCAGACATGTGAATTAGTAATATTTACCTGTTCATTGCTTTGTTTTCAATATTTTCATCGGCAACAACACACTGCCCAAATTGATTGCTTATATTTTTGATTTATAGAATAAAATTTTAAGACCATTTTTATTATTTGTAAATAGGAGCTTTTATAGATAACTTCCTATCTTTTGATCTGAAAGAAAACAATAAAACACATCTGTTAGATTTATACTAAAGTTTATGAAATCTATATGCTTTTAAAGTAATCCTCTACTTTCCTCTCTGGACCCATTTCCTGGTTTGAGGATTTTTCTAAAATTTAAAATTTTGTATTCTTTCCTTTCTGACTCGCGTATTGTTTTCAGTTTATGTTCTTTGTGCAGAACTAGGGGAATGTGTGTAGTCTGTCATTCTAAGTGTCCAGTTGCTTTCTGACTCTTTCTCATACTCTGATTCTTCTTCCTCCTCTTCCAGGGTAGAAGCTCCTCCACATTTGGTATCTTTCTTCAGAAGTCTGTAGTGATTGCTGAGTGCGGCCTTGCGAGTTCTTAGACTAGATACAGGCAGGAACATTGGAGAGCAGTTCTCAAGCATTATGTTTCTTTTTGTGTGTACTAGGCTGCAGAACAAGCAAAAGCAAGCCCAGCACTAGCAGCCAAGGACCCCGGCACTGCAGCCAACAAAAAAGAAGAAGAAGATTTAGCAAAAGGTGTGTTTTAAAGTACTTGAAGGTGGGAAGATACGTCTCTGACTGAATAGCTTTTCCTTAGATGCTTAAAGATGAAGGAAATGACTGCAGATCTTGAAGAGGCCTGCTTTCTGTCCTGGTTTCCATGTCCTTGCTTTCCTCTGTTCCGCAGAGGTGATGATCACGGGTCCTTTCGAAGTGTATCTTTACAATATTTTCAGTGTGCTGTGTATCAAAGCATAAAATCTGCCAATTTTTTTTTGTCCAGCGTATTGTTTTTTCATAAGCAGTATACTCTTAGTGTGACCTGAAATTCGTTGACAGCATTATGTTGGAGATCTGTTTGTGAAGAGGCATGTAGATCAAATTCATTTGCTTTTACTAATGTTAGTGTTCCAGTACACTAACATAATATAGCATGCTTTTTCTATCCTACTGGTACATGTGTATTGTTTTTGGTTGTGGGTTGTTTTGTTTGTTTTGGCTGTAACAAATAATGCCGCAGTGAATATCTGTGTACACGTGAGTATATATGAGACTATTATGTGTGACTAAGTAGCATTGTTAGGTTATGGCACAGGTATATTGTCTGCTTTGTTAAAAGCTGAGTGATTTTCTTACCCCCTCCAATCAACAGTGTGTGGAAACTATGATTATGATTATTTATAATCTTTTGAAAAAGTTTGGTTATTGGTAGAGTTTAATTTTTGTGAATCTTGATGGATTCAAACTAAATTTTATTTCCATGATTTCTAGGAGTTTGAGTCCTTTTTGTATACATATTGGTTCTTTTGATCTGTTCAGGTGAATTTTTTAAGGTTCTCTGTGTATGTGTGTATTTGCATATGCATGTGTGATATGTAAAAGTTGTTAAAACCCTTTTTTTTTTTTTTTGACCGTAAAACATTTAAGCCAAAGGATGAGCAGTGCGAAGGGATGACTCTGACCACCAACCCCAGCTCAGGGTAGCTGGCTCCAGGGCTCCTGTACCCAGTGGGCCAGGAGATGCCGTGTGCTTAGGCATAGGCCTGGCACACCCTTTTCCACAAAGGCCTGGAAGAGGCTGCCGGCTCCTGGGGAGGTGGGGTCTGTTCACCGCCCGCAGTTGGCATACGGCCTCCAGGCCTTCCAGCTCCAGATCCTGCTGCTTTTGCCGGTGCTGTTGCCCTAGTTCCTGCTTATTCTCCATTACCCCAGGGCCACCTGGTGTCCATGGTAGAGTGAGTGTCGACCACCCACCGGAGTCTGGAATTGGGGAAGGATCTGAAGAGGATCCTGGGCCCCAAAAGTGGGGGACAGTACCTGGGGGTACTACCCCCACCCTGAAGATGAACGGGTTGAACCTGGATGGTCTGGTGTGGCAATCCTGGGGCAGAACCGATACCACGTGGCCATGGTGTAGAAGCCTTCGGAGTTCACACAGGTGTAGCTCTCCTTGTTCCTGAGGATCCCACCTTTACTGCTGTTATGACATTCCCTTGCCGCTGCTGTGGCAGCTCATGCCCAGCTCCGAAGCGGGCCTTGGCAGCCTCCAGGCGCACAGGCTGTTGGGTCAGGGAGAAGACCTGGGCCAATCAAAGGTGCCCTGCCCAGACCACCAGCTCTGGTCCTGGGTGTGGCTCTGGAGCTCTGGGTGTTCGGCAGACAAGTCTGTGCCAGCGCTCAGCTGGTCGGAGATGTCTCGGGCAGCCCCTGGGGCCTCTGAGCACCCCACAGCCTCCCAGCTGTCTGTAGCACCCACGCTTGCATCTGGTCAGACAGTAGGAAGGTGTTGTGGTGGCAGCATGGCACAGGGTCTTCCTGGCAGCAGCTGCCCAGCCCGGAGTGCTCCAGCAAGCCTGTGACCACCGGCACGGCCTCCTGGGCAGTGCTGCCCCGTTCCGGTGGAGCAAGTCTATACCCAGCAGGCTCCTGTCCACACGGCTTCATTGCCAATACAGGCACCATGCTTTTTGGCACCCACCTCGGCCCCCACAGCCAGGAAGGGCGGCCCAGGACCACAGCATGTGCCCTCGACTCCTGTCCACATCGATGTCGGTGCCTTGGAGCCGGATCCCGGGGTGGGGTGCCAGTTGCTTGCGGGGACGAACACCACGCCCAGCACCCCATCTCCAGGTCTGTCCACGTTCTTTGCAAAGATCAGAAGCTGGGGGCGCAGAGACGAAGCGGTCCCAAGGGGCGTCACGGCGATGGTGCCGGCTTGTACTTGGCGCAGAGTCAGCGGCACTGCAGGCTCTCCCAGGAGGTCCTGGCCCTGCCCGGCTGTCGTGCTGCTGTCTTCGCCTTCTCGCAGGTCTCGGAGAATCCCACGCTCCTGCGCATGCCCGCAGACCCACCCCTTTACCGCTCACCCTTTTTCTTGTCCTCTGTGAACATGCCTCTCACCCTCTCCGCCTCCGAGACCCTCAAGCTTGGTTCCAAGCACCCAAAACATGTTAAAACCTTAATCTGTGTGGTTGTGTCTATTATGAACATCTGCCCCTATTTTTTGTCTTAAATTTTACCTTGTTAATTGTGTGTAAGAAGTTTTAGGGGCATGAGGTATAGATCTGTGGTAGACCACATAAATGTGAGTTCCTGGGTTTTGTCCCTCAGTACCCAAACCAAAGATGCTTAAGTTTTTTTTGGTCTTAACTTTTTTGTTATGATTTTAACTTTTTTTGTGTATTGTTTAGGCTACATCAAGGTCATAAGGAATATTTTCCTATATTGTCTTCTAATATTTAAAGCTTTGTTTTGACATTAGCATTTTCACCAATCCTGCTCACAGGGTAGAATAGCAGGAGGAATTGCGGGTCAAGTTGAAAGCTGGGCAGTGGCTGTGTTACGAGTACACTCCAGAATTATAGCAAGTAATTTACTGAGTGATACCTCGTGGTGGTTACACATGAGATCCACTTATTAGATGATTTGTTAGATGAGCCTTTTGACTGATTACATAAAAATTACTTTTCAACAACAAAATCTATTAAGGCTCAGAGTGAGTGAGGCTTGGTGCTCTTGATGTCCCAGGTGATTGACTATCGTCTTGGGAACTTAAGTTAGAGGAGTACGTTAAAAGAGTGAAAGAAAATATAAAATGTCTGTTGCTAAATACTTTTTAAGAACTAAGAGCTTATATCTTTTTAATCCAGAATAATTTAAATTGTACCTTTTCAATAAAAATATAAATCAAAAACCATTTTTACTCTTTGAGTTGTGAGTGGGTGAATATACTTGTCAATGATATCATCCCTGTGCCAGGACTTCTCCTGCTTTCTAGTCACACTACTGAGAAAGAATATTTTCTTTTTTTAAATGTTTTTTTAATTTTTGTGTGTATGAATGTATTGCCTGCATGTGTATAAGTGTGCCCATGTCGTGCAATTCCCATGGAGTCAGAAGACAGCGTTGGATTCCCCTGGAACTGGAGTTATGGATGGTTGTTACCTGCCATGTGGGGCTGGGAATCAAACCCAACTCCTCTGCAAGAGCAAGCTGGTGCTGTTAACTGCTGAGCCATCTCTCCAGCCCCCAAGAAAGAGTATTTCCAGTGTTGTGATGCCTTTTATGTACCTGCTTTGGATTATTGGCTATACTAACATTTAGGGTCATTGTTTTCCAGCCATTGAGTTGTCCCTCAAGGAGCAAAGGCAGCAGTCAACTACCCTTTCTACCCTGTATCCCAGCACGTCAAATCTTTTAACGAACCACCAACATGAAGGCCGAAAAGTCCGTGCTATTTATGACTTTGAAGCTGCTGAAGATAATGAACTTACTTTTAAAGCTGGAGAAATTATTACAGTTCTTGATGACAGGTAATGGCTATTTATATACTGAAAGTTCCTGAGAAAATATATCACCCAATACCTTTGTGTTTAATGCTATTCTTGTTGAATGCAGTTACCAAATATAATTAGAATATTGACCAGACATTTTAGATGATGACTGATTTGCTTGTCTCATAATTTTTTGTTTTGGAGGCGTTTCTCTGTTCATTTTTGGTTCCATCTAATTATATAAATTGTTAAATCTTTTAAAAATCTAAAGCTGTAGAAAATACACTGGATTTTAAAGCTATTCATAACCTATTGATTTTTATTTGCACAGAACATTATATCCATGTGGAACAAAATAATTTTAAAACGAATTACACATTTACATTTTCATAGTGAAAGTATTACAAGGCATCAAGTTTTTTAAATTAGGTGATATTTTATGTGAAAACAAATGGCTAACAATGAGTTGTTAAAATTTGTAACTGCTATTTAAAAATTAATTTTTATTTCTTAAGGTTACTTCTGTAGACTTTATTGCTTAGACTTTTCATGCTGCTGAGGCAAATAACCATAAACTGGGTGACTTAGCAGAAATTTATTTCCCACAATTCTGAGACTAGAATGTCCAAGGTCTATCAGATTTGGAGTGTGTTGAGGGCTCGCTTCCTGGTTTACACACAGCAGTGTGCTCTGGGTTCACATATGGTAGAAGGAGCAAAGAAGCTCTCTGGAGTGTCTTTTTTAAGGTTGCTAATTCTGTTTAAGAAGGTTCTGCCCTCATGAGTTAATCACTATTCAAAGGCCCCGCCTTTAATGCCATCACCAAGGGGGTTGAGATTTCAGCATGTCAGTTTTAGAAAAACAAACATCCAGACAATAGCATTTATATTTTAATATTTTATTGAAGGAAAATGATGTAAAGTTCAGCCGTTTAACTGAGCAAAACTTTGACCATTCATTCTTTGGAAAGATGTATTTACTGACTACTTGCTAGCTTTCTGTGTACTGAGCACTGAAACTAGCTTATACAGTGTGCGCTTTCAGGTTTTATACAAGTAGTGTTGAATCGGGAGGGAAAAAGACAGCCCTTGTTAACGTGTACTTGAAAGAACAGATGTAGGAGTGGAGATGTAGATGAAGAGCCAATGTTTATATCTTACTAGAGTTCTCATGCAAAGCTGGGAACCATTTAAGACTTGACAGGTTGCTGTTTTGCTTTGTTTTCGAAAAAATATTTTTATTCTTTGAGACTTGCATAAAATGTATTTTGATCACATTTAGACCCCCTCCCTCATCGATACCCTCCATCCTTCCATACTCCCCTATTCCTTGACTTTATGTCCTCTTTTATTGTTTTCTTTTTAAGCATAAGAGCTTCTTTTAGGGGAGAGTGTTCATACTTTTTTTAATGGCGTCTCAAGTAATTTACTGACCTTCAGATACAAAGAACATTTGGTTTAATAGCTTTGGGGCCTCATTTCCTATTTGCGGACAATAGGTTGCTGGCTCCTTTTTTTGGATTGTTGTGGGATTCCAGTCTGGTAATAATACAAGTTAAATATTATGAACAGTTAAAGAGTTATAAAAACAAAAGTCTTTTTTATAATAAAGCATTCTTTTCTGTTCATCTTAGTGATCCCAACTGGTGGAAAGGTGAAACCCATCAAGGCATAGGGCTTTTCCCCTCCAATTTTGTGACTGCAGATCTCACTGCCGAACCAGAAATGAGTAAGTACTTTTCAGTCTGTGGCTGACTGATAATCCACATTCTTCTTGAAGGAAGTGGAATAAACTCATCTTTGTGCATCAGTGACTCTCAGACATTTGTGCCTATAGGTGTTTATTTCAAACTGCAGTTTCTAAGCTGCGGAGGATGCCTCGTGCTTATTGTCTTAACATTCACCTGTAATCCCAGTACTTGGAAGGCTGTGCTACAGTGAATTCAAGGCCAGCTTCACTACAGAGTGAGACCCTGTCTTCACAAAGAAAAAGATCAATGCCAGAAATGATCTTAAAGTTCTCTGTCAGTATTAACCTTAGATAGACTGTGAGCTTTTCTTACATATTTATGCCTGTATAGGTGCCATTAAAACTACAAATACATGAAGTATAGCGGAATTCATGCTATGAATTTTTCTTTCCAGCTGATAAATTGGCAAATACAATACAACCTCGTAGATGCTACCTCCTACAGGGGAAGTTTTCTAATGTCTAGCCCTAGACTTGACAGCAGCATCCTTTCAGCAACATAATGGCCAAATGACCCTGGAAAATATGCAAAAGAAGCCATAGGAAATGATAACCATACAAAGATTTTTTTGTTTGATTTCTAAACCTTTGCTGATATAGAAGAAAGAACTGCCATGGAGAAGAAGTATATTTAGTGGCAGCTGTAATAGTTACAGGTGACATACTGCCAGTGTCTGACAAAGGCAGGCAGAGTAGTTTTCTATATAGTCCTGTAGAATGTTGTTCTTTAATGATGTCATAATGGTGATTTAGCCATCAAGAAACACCAGATCATAATCTCCTGCTGCTTCAAAATACAGAAGACATATGTTCAAGTCTGGTAAGATTTCTGTTAGCGACTAAGAGGATTAGGATCTTGAGACAGAATCTCCCTGTAGCCCCAGCTGGCCTCGAACTCACTATGTAGACCAGGCTGGACTTGAACTCACAGAGATCCACCTGCCTCTGCCTCCCGAGTTCTGGGATTAAAGGCATGCACCAGCATACCCAGGGAAGTTTAGATCTTAAAAGAAGTTTTATAGATGTTGAGAAACTTGAGTTATCTGCCAGAATATCTCATTTGTCTTTTTATAACACCAGATAGAAGAGATCAAAATAAGTTAAATCCCATAAGATCCTTAGCTCATTTTAGTTCACAGGAGTTTTAAGAAAGGTTCTTTGTCTTAGCCCCCCACCCTCACCCCCTCCCCAGCAGCATCTGGTACTGAATCTTAACCACAATGCATACTACATAAATATGCATAGAATAAATGGCACATGAATATGTGTTAACAGTGAAGAGGTACAGAGAAGACAAGCCAGAAATTATAAACCAGAAATTATAGCTCTTTAATAAAGTGGCTCTCTCTCATAGCTACTGACAAGTTGCCTTTATCACTTTTGTAGAGACGCACTCCTGATATTCTGTTAAATTATTTTTTTGTTAGAACTCAAAAATTTCTAGAACTTAAAACATATAACCTTATTTGAGTGACAGTGCATAGCATGTTGACGTTTTAATAATCTGAGTTTAGAATTGCCTTGCCCTTCTGTTCAAGACAAGATAGGATGTCTCAGGTTGATCATGTAGCCATTTCATCTTTGTCTTTCATATGACAATGAAGCTTTCCTATGAGTTTTCTTATTCTTATGTGTTTCACTCTTGACAGCGTGTAGGAAAAAATGGGAGGATCAGAGCTTATTTGGTACAGTAATTGTTCTCAGATTCGGAAATGTGCAAGGAGGCTCCCTGGAGCATCTTTTTTTTTTTTTTTTTATTTTAAAGGAAGTAGAAACCTCCTTTACTTAACATAGAAACATGTTTTTTTACTTATTTTATTTTATTTTAGAGATACAGTGAAAATACATTATTGTGTATATATAAATAGTATTTTTGACATAGTATACATCTGTGGTATCAGTTCCTATGAGAAAAGGACCACAAACTTAAGATCATTAGCTGCATGAGCTCTGCCATTTGTTACCATGGGTTTACAGCCAGTGCATTGGCTTTCTACTGAATGGCACAAGATATAAAAGGCAGCATGTAGCAGATGTCTCTCTGTTCCCCATGGGAAAATGAATCAGCCAAAGTTTTCTTTTGGTATGTAGAGTTTTGCTTTACAGTGACTTAGATATGATGAATATATTCCTTATGTTTGGAATTAAACAGATAATACCAAAGTACATAAATTACATATTTGGCTTTCATTTCTCAAAGTCATAGGCCAGATTCCAGTGATAGGGGCTAATAGAACAAGATAGATTGACGTTACAATCTGGGCTTTACCTTCTATTAGTTTTCTCTTATGCAGTAGTTTTTAATTCTTTAAAATAGGATTGTTTTGGAAATTTATTGGGGCAAATCTAGTCCATCAAGCACATTGAATAATAAACAACCTCCCTTCATAGTTCCTCCTGCTGTGAAATCTCCTTTCTCTTCTTGATCCTTAACCTTTTGCTGTCTGATTGACCTTATAGATACAGGATGAAATGTTCAGAAAATATGTTCATTCTCTGGAATTGTCAGTACTTTTTAGTATTATTTAGAGGTTGCCATATGAATAATAGCCTTAAATGTACTCGTTATATTAGGTAGTTTTCAAAGATTGCTTTGGTGAGAAGAGAAATCTGTGCTTTCAACCAGTGGTTTGCTGAACGTTAATGACCACTTTTCACTTTTAAATGAAAGTTAAATTCAGTGTTATTAGATGGACTGATGTGCTGGTGAATGCAGATCTGTGCCAAGGCCACTACAAAATTATTCTCTGGTCTTGATGTTCTCTGGGTGCAAAGCCCGGGTATATGCCGGAGAAATTATGATTTTCCAGTTTATCATGTTGTAGTATTGTGTTCCTATCAAAGGAGATGTTCTTTGAATTAACAGGTCATTTAAAAAGAGATGTTTTGAATTTCAAAATTCACTTTTTCAAGTATTAAACTTTTTGTAACAACTCATTGAACTTCGAAATAGGTAACTTTTATTTCAGAAGCATGATTTGTTTTAAAAAGGTTTTATTTATATATTTTATGTTGCATAAATTTTTTTGACAAAACATTTCATTACAACAGCATTGACATATTCAATAACAATTTCCAGAGCTAAGATATATCTCTTTCAAAATTGACTGTAAATTTTTAGGTTCACAGTTGAATTAATACAGTTATACAATATTGAACTCTGTATAAAGCCCATAAGACATAAAATTGAATGAGGTTTTAACCTTTAAGAAACATCTGCATTTCATTTTAAAATATATTGTTTCATACAGAAAACAATATCATTTTTAATGCTACCAACACTTAGATGTTTGCATATGCATCTCTAATCTCTATGTACCTGAGTATTAATTATTACTAGTCACAGTTGGTTACTTTCTGAGCTCCTTGGCATCTGAGCATGGATATTGCATAAATGTTTTTGCACGCATGTATGTAAATGCACCACATGTGTGCCTCGTGCCTGCACAGCCCAGAAGAGGGCATTGAATCCTCTGGAACTGGTGTTATGTGCTGGTGTTAGCTGCCATGTAGGTGCCAGGAACCAAACCTGGGTCATCTGGTAGAGCAGTAAGTGCTCTTAACTGCTGAGTCATCTTTAGCCCCTTGCCTGAGTTGTTTTAAATAGATCTCTTTAAAGGCCAAATTCTCTCATAGGACTTAAAAATTTAAATATATTTTAAGGAAAAGATAATTTCTGTTTTTTTCCCCCCAGTCAAAACAGAGAAGAAGACGGTACAATTCAGTGATGATGTTCAGGTAGAGACAATAGAGCCGGAGCCAGAACCAGCTTATATTGATGAAGTGAGTGGTTTCCTTGATGATAGTGATGGGTACTTTGTGTTGGGATTGGAATACTTTGTTTCCTTTAAAAACAGTTAAGTACTTTTGTATTTTCTGGTTTTGAAAATTTGAACAATATCAGCAAGCATCTATTACTTTTTAACTTCATCTTCAGTCCCATTTTTACCCTACTAGATCTCATTTTAAATTGCTGCTTACAACTGGGGATGTAACTCAGTAGTAGAACAAATACTTGCCTAGTCTATGTAAGGCACTAGACTTGATCTCTTTTGATAAAGGGAGGAAGGAAAGAAGGAGGGAGGGAAGGAGGGATACTTGTCTAGTATGTCATAGAGTACATTTAAATTTTTTATTTTGGAGTGCTTAGGTAATTTCCAGTTTTTATTGCTAACACAAGCAGTTTTATAGTGAGGTTTCTTTCTTTTAATCTTTGTTTTTCTTAAGAGTATATAGCAAAGAATGGAACTTCCAAGTTGAAGGATCTGTGCTTTCCATGTTAAATAGGCACTGCCAAATTGTTCACCAGAATGGGAGTTTTACAGATTTCTTGGTGCTCTGTGAGAGCACCTGTTTCCTCAGGTACTCAGCAATATTAAAATTGCTTGGAAGTTACAGGGTAGGGCACTTACTGACTGTTGAAAGAATAAAACATATTAGCCAGGAGTGGTGGTGCACACCTTTAATCCCAGCACTTGGGAGGCAGAGGCAGGTGGATTTCTGAGTTTGAGGCCAGCCTGGTGTACAGGGAGACCTTGTCTCAAAAAGACCAAAAAAAAAAAAAAAGAAAAGAAAAGAATAAAACCTATTTCTGAATGCTACTGCATAAACCAATTTAGTGAAATGATTTGTGGTTCCTCCTTGGATTAAACATATTGAATATTTGGGAAAAACTTACTTTAATTTTATGTTAAATCTTTTCGTAGGCCATTTTTACATCTGAAACAATGACTTTTTAGTGATTAAATTTGAAAATCCGGCTACTTGAGTGGCGACTTAAACCATAGTTTTTTGGAGTACGTATTAGTACTTAAAAATGTATGATTAGGATTAAGCTCGGAGGAAGTTTGTTTGTTTTGCAGCACTGCGCAGTGTCTTGTGCATGTGAGGCAGCACTCTACCGCTGTACTGCATCTTCAGCCGAAATGTGGCATCTCTTGCGTTAACATGTCATAATTACTTAGATTTTAGAAATCTCTGCTGGTTATTACATATAAGGAAAAGAAGATTAAAACTAGTTACTTTTTCATCTTTATGTTTTCAGTCACAATTTTATATTCAAACTTACAGTGTTACTGTTTTGAATAGCAATGTCAGTATTATATTGTGTTAAATTCATAAAATAGTATTAAATTATGGAACTAGCAAACCATACAGGCTGCATTTGTGCTAAAGTTGCAGAAAAAAAGGTCATTGACTTTGGAGGCAGAGTATGCTTAGTATCTGGCCTGTACAGAACAAGTGTGGCGGCTCCTAACGTAGGTCATTACAGAAAATGCTTTTCAGGTCTTTCTTTTAATAAATATGGACTCCTGAAGTTGATCTGACTGAGAACATGTTCTCCTTGCCTTTATTTGCCATTTTCTTTCTCTTGTACAATTCCCTCTCTCACTGTACATGAAAAATCCCCTGTGCCCATACTGAACCTTACTGTGGTACACTGCCACACTGGCAGTAAGAAAGGAATGATGAGGCAGCAGGGTACAGATGGTTTCATATATTTTGCAATCAAACACTAAAGATGAGCGCAATGAATTATCAGCTTATAGGTTATTGAAAATAATTTCTAATGATAGGCCACTATGGTTCCTGGCATAGAATTCAAAATAATATTTCAGTGATACTGCTCTAATAGCTTGAACTCTATGAACAAGGCTTGTCGTCAGCTTCATCTGTAAAAATAGGAATGTGAACATTTTATTTTTCTTTAATTTGGACTATATGTTACTTCAACTCATGATATGCTAGTAGAAATCATTAACTCATACACATGAACTTAACGCTTATAATATTACCAGTTCTACATATTTTTATTGCAAAGAATTTTGACATAGTCTTCTACAAGACTGTAAAAGTACATTAGGATAAAACTTGGTAGGGAAAATTGAGTAGGAATACGTTCAAGGAGAAAAATGGCCAATTTAAAATTTCCAATTTTTAAAAGTTTGTTTTTGAGGTCCCAGGGATAGTACCCAGGGCCTAACACATGCCAAGCAAATGCTCTACCACTTAGCCACATCCCCAGCCTGATCATGTGGTTTAAATGATAGTGGTACATGCATATTGCTATGGCACTGAGTTTCCTTTGACTTTATTAAAAATAATACAACTTTTATCTTAAAATACCCATATGTAATTAAGATGTGGGGCATCATCTTTAAATATGTGTAAGGGTTTATATTAAAATATGAGACATCATCTCTGAAACATGTGAAAGGGTTTGTAGGTTTCTGGCATTCTTTTAGAAGAAACAGGAGCAGAAAATCTGCTGAGTGTTCTTTTGGAGAGAGAAGATTGTTAAGAGCTAAGGGATATGGCTGGGTTTGGAAAGGTTTGGCCAGATTGCGTTACAGAAGGAAGTGCATGCGTGTTCTCACTGGTGACTGGTATAGAACAAGAGGCAAACTTTCCTAATGGGGTCTCCTGTTTTTAGCCATCTTAAAATGAAAATGTGACAGATAGATAGATAGATAGATAGATAGATAGATAGATAGATAGATAGATAGATAGATAGATAGATAGATAGATAGATAGATAGATAGATAGATAGATAGATAGATAGATAGATAGATAGATAGATAGATAGATAGATAGATAGATAGATAGATAGATAGATAGATAGATAGATAGATAGATAGATAGATAGATAGAGAGATAATTACATTGAGTGATAGATATATTTGAAAATTCAGAATTCATTTGGCTTGCCAGGAGTTTTTCCTCTATGTACCTGTGTTGCTTCAAGTCCAATGATTAATTTTCCTCTCTCAAACTGTTTTCCATTTCAGAAGACTCTTTGTTGGAATTAACTATATTGTTTAGAACTTGTAGTATTTATTTGCCCTGTGTACCTATGTGCAGTAGCATAATCACATACAACTATGCAGGGAGAAATATTTGTAATAATTTTAGGGTTTTTTGTAAATTAAAAAATACGTCTCTGCTTAATGTAACAACACTTTTTATCAGTTCCTTTGGTCCTAACAATAAAATATTCTGAAATAGACCTGAGTCATTGGTTTGAGATGTCGTCCAGCAACCCCACATGGAAGAATAGAGAAACTACAAGTTTTAAGTTTTCCTTTCTTTTATGACAAACTGAAACATTGATAGAAAGAAAACACAGAATAAGTCCTTAGAGGCCCACTTAGAGGAACAGCTGTAAGAGACCCGAGCTCTGCCTTGCTCAAACAGCTGCTACGTTCACCATGGGCAAGTGGTAGTGACTGAGTTGTTAGTCACAGCAAGCCAGCTTGAGAGGGATGCTGCACCTGTTGTGTGGCTAAGCTGCTCCAAAGCAGTGTGGGACTCCCTGGTACACTGTGAGAGCCAGGAGATCAAGCCTTGTAACTTTAAATGTGCGATTCTATTCTAATTTGACAAATTCTTGGGTAGCACTTTCAAAAACACCTAAGAATAGTGTACAGAGGTCTGGCTTTGCATGGTGCTAAGAGCATACATGAGGTACTACAAAGGTAAAAGCTAAATTACTCTTCCTCTGAAATACAAAAGTCTATTGGGATGAAGTTACCAATGTGAGAACATAATGTTTCTTCGAGATTCGTTGCTTTTGACATTGACTATTTAATTCCTTAGGATAAAATGGACCAGTTGCTACAGATGTTACAAAGTACAGATCCCAGCGATAATCAACCAGACTTACCAGAACTGCTTCATCTCGAAGGTGAACCTTCCTTTATGCGTACCTTGCTAACAAAGAATAATCAGAAATATGTTTACTGTTCTGTTACAGATGGGTTTTGACAGTAATCTTAAAAATGCAACATCATTTACTTTTCTTGTACCCAGTGTCACCTTCAGTGTGTTGTTTAATCCTTGATTAGAGGTTGAATTTACAAACCTTCTTATCCAAATTAAATATTTTATTCAACACCTTAGTGTCTTACAAAATGAAAATTAAATTTTGAGATCAGTATTTTAAATTGTCGCCATTATACTTTGAGAAAATCAATTTTAGAGATTGACTAATGCTAATTAATATTTTCATGACTCCAAATTAAACTTTTGATTCCTTTAATCGTATTAATAGTTTTCAAAAATTCACTTTCCTTTTTTTTTTCCCACCCTTATCTCTTCAAATACTGTCATTTAGCAATGTGTCACCAGATGGGACCTCTCATTGATGAAAAGCTGGAAGATATTGATAGGTAAAGAACATGGGCTGCATTTAAATTGTATAATTTCCTTCCTCATTGAAACTATTTTTATAATGGACAGAGTAGAGTATATCTACTTTTTAAAAAAGACACTTCAGGGCTGAGGAGGTGGCTCAGTTGGTAAAGTGCCTGCTGTGTAAGACAAGGCCCGAGTCTGGATTTTCAGAACCCACAAAAAGTCTAGGCATGGTGGTACATTCCTGTAACCCCAACCTGGGTAGAGGGTAGATGGGCTGATCACTGATCATTGCCCAGCCAATTGGTGAGCTTCAAGTTCAGTGAAAGACCCTGTATCAAAAAACAAAGATGGAGAGTGACAGAGAAAAGACATCCAGTGTTGACCTCGGTCCTTCACAGGCTCAGATACCTGTATGCACACGTGCACACACTTCATGCATACAAAACGCTGCACACCTAGGTCCATACACACACACGAAGTACTCCAGAGAACAAACTCTCTATTGCTTGTTTGCAACTTGATGTGAAGAATTGGACTCATCTGTCTGATTTTGAAAAGGAAGACTGTACACCTTTTATCTTTTAGATAAGAGCTTGTATAGTAATGCTTCCTAAAGTGGCATTACCAGAGTCCACAGATGAGCCATCTGTTGATAACCAGGGAACCTTGGATATTTCAGGGTACAGTCAAGTACAAGGACCTAAAGGTCCCTCAGCACAGTACCTAAACCTTCAGCAGGTTCAGCTGCCTCAAGCTGTCCCAAGTCTAGTGTAATACTTTTTGTTATTCTGATATATCATTTAAGCAACCACCCTTGTTTCAAATTATTGTGTAATGTTTCAGAAAACATTCAGAACTCTCAGAACTAAATGTGAAAGTGATGGAGGCCCTTTCATTGTATACGAAGCTAATGAATGAAGATCCAATGTATTCTATGTATGCAAAATTACAGAATCAGCAGTATTACATGCAGTCGTCTGGTGTTTCTGGTTCCCAGGTATGCTTTGGACAGCTCAAGTATGTTATTTAAGTTCCTGAATGAACTTGGGATGATTTGGAATGACTGTATTTTTGTAAAATGTGCAACTTCTTGAGGTTAATATTTTAAAAACAAGTTTAAAATTTTCACAAATACAGTGTCTAATATACTGAATGTGCCATTTAAAAAAATTGCTCTTTGTTCTGGGATAGGTGGAATTATCCATTGTGTTTTTTCTCTGCCCCTTTTTCTTTAAATACAGATATGTTGGTCCTATCCCAGTCCTGTTCAATCAGTCTTTAAGGTTCAGGTTTCCTATGTAATTATATGGTTAAAACCTTCAGTTCATTATTATATTTAAGTAGATTATTCTGGTTATGCCCACGTTCTTCTGAATATTTATAGTTTTTGTTTTACACTGAACTCCTTAGGTTAGATGTTCTATAAAAAAAAAAAAAAAGTAAGTATATGCCAGCACATATGATGGCACACATACCCAGCCAGACAGGGACCCAACATAGATGAGGGAGGTGGCCAGGCTGAAGATCTGTTGGCAGTTGGTAGATGCTGAGAGAGGGACAATCAGTTTTCCTTGCTGGGTGACATCTGGTAGGTGACCAGACTTCAAGGGATAGACCCACACCAGAGAGCTCTTGGGAAACACATTGGACTCTATAGGCCTTAAA